GTAGGGACCCCCACGGCTCTGCTGCCTCTGCTGCCCCTACCTCCCCCACTTTGGCCGGAGGGGGTCCCTCAGGCACGGCTTTGGTTTCTGCGTCTTCTAAAGTGAGGCAGACCCACGTAAACTCGGCTACTCTGTAAGGCAGAAACCATTCCTGATAATCCTTTTTTTTTAATTTTTAATTACAAGTAAGTGTTTACTCAAAGTGGGTTTGATTCAATTGCTTTTTCTGCAGGCTCAAGAATATCGCAGCTTGAGCTGTTCTTCTAACCCACAATGCTCCCATTTTACTTCATGGTGGTCTCAAAGCCTTTCTGGTCAGCTCGGGCCGGGGCAGTGGCTTCGGCTCAAGGTGGAAGCCCGAGCGATGGGTGCTGGTTTCTCCTGCGGCTGCGCATCCTGAGTTGCAACACTGAGACAGGTGCTTTCACAAGGATGATGTGATGCTGGTACGTGCTCCGAGTCTGAAGATGGACAGGTCTGCTTTGGTTAAAATGGGGAACAAAGGCAGAAAAAATTAGCCTCAGGTCAGCCGGTGTTTTCTGGCCTACTTTGACATGACTGCTTGTTCCTTTGAGCAGACCAACTTGCTAGCTTCCGTGCCAGCACCGGTCTGTTTAGTTCTAACTAATACATATGAATGCAGGCATCATAGCTCTTAATTTGCTTTCCTGTTGCTTGCCTGTGAAATTGGGGGCTTTTTTCTGCTTCAGACTTGTATGCATTTTTTAGAGCAAACTATTAATGCGTTAAAATAGCATGGATGAATGCAGGCAAGGAGCTTCACCCTCGTACAGCAGTTTCACAAAGCCTTACAGAAACAGTGTCCTATTAAAAGGAATGGCTGTCAATGTCTGACATACAGTTGCTTGCCCACCAAAATGCATGCATAAACAATGGAAAGGTGAAAAAATTAGATTCTCATTATGCTTTTGTCTCAGCATCATTACAAAAAATTTCTGTACACATGAAAAATGGTTCTAACATGCAGCCATATTTAAAAAAAAATTTATATGTCTAGTTCCCACTTAACTTTGTAAGCAAATAAAGAAGAATTTCTTTTTTGCCATAACATACAGTAAGAACCTATCCCTATGGATACAACTGCCAAATAACTAGCAGTTGTGTGCAAAAGTTAACAGGGCCAAACTCTAGGTTTCTGCAAACTTTCTCAAGTTATAAGCCAATTATATGTTTAGAAAATATAGCAAGAAACAACTAAATCCCAAATGTTAACAATATGTTTTCATCGCTATCTGAAGTCCAGTAAAAATCCAGTTATTTAACTGTACACTGCATGTATAAGAAATGTGCCCATATTGAATTTAAATAGTTTCTCTGTATTTACATTAGCAAATTAACTCAGTTATATCTACATTTCCTATTGATTTTTCATCTTGTATCATCCTGGTTTTTTACTCACCATTTCCCTTTGGAGGTGTTTTGTTACCGTATTTAAGGTATTTAAAACTTCAGCTGCAAGTTCACTTGCTCAAACTTGTTCACCTGGTCAAATCAAAGGATGCGTAACAAATAATCACAGAGCAGCCACAGTTCCAACTGTGTAGCTTTCTGTATTCTGGTCTGTTGCTACATTTTGATTTTGAGAATACTGAAATATTCACAGGCTACTGCGTTTTCAGTTACTATTTAGGACCATAGACTTGTAATTCAGACTTCCCTTCAGTCAAGTGAAGGACATTAAAGGAAGGAGCCATCTAAATCATGTTGCATCTGGTCCTAGTAAGGAGATAATAACTTCTCTTTGAAATTGTGTCACTCTGAGTGATCACTTACTACTTCGAACTCGCTTCTTTTTATCTTAATGTCTATTTGCATTAGAATGGCAGTTAAAACTACAGTAAATACTTCACATGTTTCATTTTCCGTAGCAACTAAGCATGCTACAGTTGCAGCAAAGAGAGGAAATGGCATGCCAAGCACCACGGCGCTCACACGCTCTCTGAATAGTTCTTGGCTAAGAATGTACCCAGAAGCCAGGTCTTTAATGCTTAATATCTGATTAATTAAATAAGCACACAAGTTACAACATGCCACTGAATGCAATACCGATTGATAATTCATGGATGTTGGACTTCCTATAAAATAAGTGAAAATAAGTATAATAGATAATTTTTGTGGAATAATGGTGTCTGGTTTAACTATATCTTTAGTAAGGATATAATGTGTGTTGTCCCTTACTCACTGGGAATAGTTCATACATAGCAATTGCAACTTAAATGTGGCCACTGTTGTCAAATGTTACAATATCGTTTAAGTTATAACTTGAGCCCTTTTCACTCTAAAACATTCACTTAATGAAGCTGCAGCTTTCCATGCTTGCTCTCCTTTAAGCTGGCTTGGTTTTGCCTCAAAAGTCTGAACAACGTTCCTTCATGTATTTCTGCACTGGGAGACCAGAACAATATACATGGTTTCAGTCGATATATGTATACACACACATGCACACAAACAGTGCTATAGGTAAGTTTTGGAGCTCAGATTTAACCATGTGAAAAATCATTACTATTCAAGCTTAGTACAGCATGTACTTGGTATAGAAGCATGCAGCATAACCAGCCTGCACAAGCAAACTGCCTTTTGAGCTGTGTGTTCTTGGGAAACCAACACAGGGACTTTTTTGTTTTGATTTCCACTAGTTTCCAAAGGAAGCCAGGCTTACACGCTCATCCTCTATGTTTGTGTTTCAATCTACTAATTTCAGTCAAATTTGACGGAGAGGAAGATGCATTAAGAAACGAATTTTCATTAAGCTTGTGCAAGAAAGGGTGTGATTAGAGGAAGATATGTTCTTAATACTATAATTTCAGGAAAAACTATAGCACAAGCTCAAGTCTTGTTGGACATCAAAGAATCCACAGAGGTAGAAGCTGTTCTATGTCATCTACCCACCAGAAGCGCTCCAGTCGTAGCTCACGCTTTACTAGACCCTATGGGATTAATTCCTCTTTTTTCTTTTTTCTTTTTTTAATTCAGATTTTTCTCAGAGATGGATCTGCAAGTATCTAGTAAGATACAAATTCAGTACAACTCTTCCCGCATGGTTAGGGCTCTTACAACAGGTTTGTCTGTCTGTCTTTCCCTCACTCCCTCTCATTTCTATTCAGTTTAAAGACCAGTCGTAGAATCCCAAATGACCGAAAACCAGAATTCTGCTCTTAATATATATTTAAGATATATAGGCTGTGAAACTTGGCAGCGCTTTAAGCTCTTCCCCACTTTGAGCGGCTGGCAATTAACTGGAGATTTTTACATGTGAAATGTTACAGTGTGGGAGTTCCTCAGTGGAGTGTAAAGGAAAGTATGACCACAGGTGGAAATGCAATACTTGATGTTTTATTTTAAATTAATTGCCTGCAGTAGTGACATAAACATTAAATGGAAGCAAATTGGTGATTGCCACTTCAGGACTTGGGACTGTTGTAAAACTGGAGGAAATGAAAACTCATGATTGGATCTGGAGGAAAACACTGCCTTCTGGAGAGGATAAGGAGGTAAGTTTTATTTGACTGGTTACCTATTTTTAAAGTTACATAAGATTATTTGCTTTTTTACTTGGCCAGAGTTTTACAGTGGCTACAGTCATTTCCAAGTTGCCTTGTAAGGGGGAATGTACCAAAGGCATATAAGGTATGCTGGATCAAATCTGTGTTTTAAGGGGATTGCATAGAAGCATAGGGTTTCGCAGCTTCAGGGCCACACTGAGAAGCTGTGCCATGTATCATATGCAAATTAAGAAAAGGTAGAAAAGAGAGACTCTCCAGATGCTGTTTGCAGCAGATTATGAAAATAATAAGTTCATAAAGATACATTTTCAATTAATGCCAATGATACTTATTGTGTGATTCCTTTGATTTACCTTATAGCACATTGTAATGTTAGCACACGGAAAGGTAAGATTTTCATGATGACTACTGCATTACGGAACCTAATGCTGTTTTTCAACCTTCCACATCTCTGTAAATCTTCAAATAAATTAAAACATTAACTCTCTTAAGATTTTCACAAAACTGTTTACTGTAAATTTATTGATTCCTGGATCAAATTTAGGAACTAATGTCCACCTGAACTAATGGTAGGACTGAGCACACATAGCCAGTGAAAGAGAATGTATGTGAAGGGAGTGTTAAAGAGCAAGGGCTTTTGGGCTCAGAACAGATTTTAGGGAAAAAGCATTCTATTAAACTAAAATACTTCCTTGCAATTCCCAGTCCTAATATTACCTAAACCAAACTAAAAGTGGGCTTGCTCAAATTCTGACATCTGAGACTCCTACCTTTACAAGTCAGTAAGTATGCAGGCTGCATGCATACTTGCTATAATCTATTTGTTTTCATAACTGTCTTGATGACTGTTTATTAATTGTTTGTTATTTCATCTATTAATAATAGCTAAAGATAAGCCAAAAAGAAATGTAACTTTCCACTGAGAAGGAATTACATGGATTTCTCCTTTTAACCTAAAGGAGCTCTTTGAACAGAAAACCAAATACCTCAAACTCTTCCTAAAAATCTGACAGCCAGGTGGGACATCAACAGTTCCCTACTCCCTTCCTCACAGTGTACTGGGATTGATGCTAAGTGTTTATACAATTTCTTTTTTTTTTTTTTAATTTTAGCATTATTAATGGTTGGTATTTAAAATGGTTTTGCAAAGACATGTAGTTGAAAAGTTACACTCATCCCACTCCTTTTTAAAACACCCAGGAATGTCACTAAAGAACTGGAACCGTGGATTAAAGGTTAATGACTTATGCATATCCCATTTCTGAAAAGAAATGTGTGTGACTGTATGCAAGAGTACACGTGAACTATTTTAACACGGTTGATTTTGCACGTATGTGAGAAAACTGCTACACTGCCTCAAAAAAGGTACAGCAGTGGATGTTGGTTGTGGTATAAATCCAGCTGCAAATACGGGATGGGTTTGTACTGAACTGTTACAGCCTGGCTATGCATTTTACCTCTGAATTATGAAGCACAAAGTGTTATTGATTCTCCAGTAAGTTTGTCATCTTCTCTTGCTTTCGTGTACCGTTTTATTCAGATGTCATCCAGTGATTTAATTCTAAATAGCTCTTCACACAATACAAAACGCGGGTATGGGTCAGTTTGCAGGTTTACGGCCGCTCTCCCCCCCCTCCCTCTCGCCTGACGTTCAGTCAGGGGCT